TCACTGTACCAAAAATTGTACCCCGATTCGGCTGGTGTTAAGTTAACGCATGTTATTTAGTAACGTTTTTATGTGAAATGTTTGACTGTGGTTCGGTACCTGATCCGATAATACGGTACATAATTGACTCATATCACGAGATATTTCAACTGATGTTTCAATTGTCACAGGACCTAAAATATCTATGACAGTCCCTGTACCGTCTCGGTACCCCGATACAGGTACTGGTAAGTCACCGCCGGTATGTTAGTCGTTGGTCACTGCATATGATTTTTGGGGAATTGTTCTGCGTGTTCATATATTTGAGCATTGCTCTCTTGTTATTGATACAATGCTGTTCAAGCAGTTAGCTAGGCGTTTTCGAGAGAAGATTCAAGGAGAAATCAATTGAGAAGTACTGGTACTTATATCTTAAGTAGAAAAAAAAACATTTATAAGTATAGTATGACTATGAAAATATTTTTACGAAATTGTGGTGATTACAATGTACATTGTTATGTAATGCTCGCCACACCTTCAAAAATAACTAGCTAGCAATAACCTACAAATGACAATAATAGTGTGTTTCATTCAAAAATACCTTGAAAATACTGGGATGGAATGTAAATATCCAAAAAATGCAAGATCAAGTCCAACAATCAAAATAGATTTAATTAGCTACATGCCCCCTCAAAAATTCATACGCCCCTTTTGCAAGGCGCGCCCCACCGTTTGAGAACCATTGCCCTAGTTAATAAATGCTGATAACTTTTTGACGCTTAAACACATTTTTGTTGGGTAGAATATTTCATGCCGACTATATAACGAAATGAACAAGGGTCCGGTTCTAAAGACTTTGCCATATCGAATTATGAGCGCGCATTGGTGCCTAAACTAACAGTATTACCGCAAACACAGAGGAAAAAGTTCCTTCTCAAGAATGACAAATATCTGACAAAATTTGGAACAAAGTAATGCAATTTTTATCCCGAATATTGGGCGGTAATATAACAAAAAACGATTTTTCATTGGTAAAATTTATTCTTGTCTTATTCGCTTATTAGCCAGAAAAAAACGATAGTTGTCCGAATCATGATATTATAAAGTATTTAGGGAATTTTCCATATAAAATTCCATTTGGAAGAAAACCAGAGCTGAGATTATATACTCATTACTCACTATATTGAAAATAATACTTTGTCTGCAGATTTCCCATAAAAATTACAAATATTATTCATCAAGAAATATACAAGTAATTTACACGATTGGAAAAAACAAATCAGTTTCAAATCGCATTTAACAAAATAAATAACAATATATGACTATGCGGCACATAATATTAAATATAGACATAAGGTAACTATTGCGAAAATGTGTATCCATACTAAGTTTTTGGCCTTTTGGAAGCGTTGTCACAAAATCTTAATATGGTAAGCTGGAGTGAATATTTAATTATTAGATGCAAACAGCTAATTTTCAAAATGATGCTAATATTGTACAAATTCAAATGTGACATTATCTATAATTAGGATCGCAGAGGATAAAAAGTTTTCTCTCGTGTAGAATATTCAATTCATAGCCGGTGCGAGCATTTAAATATCCTGTCATAGTAATTTAATTGTGTTCTTCGTTACTCGAATTTTAGTCGAGAAAACTTTCACGATTATAAAAATGAAGAATCACTTTTTTTAAACTGCATAGAATACATGCCAAACTGCCAACTATAAGTAGACCGGAATCGTATTTTAAGATTAGTAAAATTTAGTCAATTAGTACAGTGTAAAATTGCGCATAAATTGCCGATTTATTCATGTGGTTAGTATCGATAAAAAAAAATATGTTAACAAAGCAAAGTTACGTGAACATTCAACACTAAGTATTCTAATGATTACCAATTTGCGAAGTTCTTAAATTATTATTTAATACGAAAGTAACACGGACTCGATCTAGAATTAATCGCATAGAAATGTCAACTATCCGCTTCACAAATATCGCATCCCGGGGTAAATAATGATAATATTGTCCGCTTAAAATTGGGACCGTAATTTACAAACTGTGATTCAAATCCTACACAGAAGATAGAAATCATAATAAAATTAATTTGTGTTGTGAATGCACTTGTTGTCCCTCTTTGCCAATGTGAACTCACAATCATGTCCGAAATATAAAAACTACGATATCCGCCGTGATAATTAATATATACTAGTGAATAAAAAATTGCTTCAATATAGTCCAACAACATTAATTGGAATGTCAACCGCCAAAACGATCGCGGTGACAAATAATTTACTGAGGCCTTCGATTATGACAAAATTAGGAAATAAAAAACGCCGCGCTGTTACGGAGTTTTCAGTCTTCTAGTAAAATTCGAATAAAAAAAAATATTGTCACGACGGTGGTTTCGGCGGCCGACATCCCAATTAATGTCGTTTAAAATGACAATACTGATTATTCGGTGTTCGTTAAAATTATTCGATTAACTCGATTAAAAAATACGATTTTGCCCGACATTGATCACGGCGCAAGTAAATAATCATTGAGTGGAAATAAAAGTTCAACTTCATAACAATAAATTCCAAGTAATAGTTATACATTTCTTGCATTTGATCGGCGCTACATGCGAGCGTGTTTTTGTACATAAAAACTCTTATGACACTGCTCCAGATTTTGCATGTGCATTCATCTTATCTTGGACCAGAAGCCTATTGATTTTGGGCGAATTATGTCGTATAATTATCGAGTTATTAATTAATTAGTGATGGGACACAAGGTGTCACTATGAGTAAAAGCGCTGTTTTGGGGGATCCCCTAACTTTCGATCGATAAGTCTTCGGTCTCTGACCGATATTCTCGTTCGCTTATTAGCCAGAAAAATATGATAGTTGTCCGAATCATGATATTATAAAGTATTTAGGGAATTTTCCATATAAAATTCCATTTGGCAGACAAACCAAAGCTGAGATTATATACTTAATATATATCTAAAAAATAATACTTTGTTTGCAGATTTCCCATAAAAATTACAAATATTATTCATTAATAAATATACAAGTAATTTACACGATTGGAAAAAACAAATCAGTTTCAAATCGCATTTAACAAAATAAATAACAACATTTGACTATGCGACACTTAATAATAAATATAGACATAAGGTAACTATTGCGATAGTGTGTATCCATATTAAGTTTTTGGCCTTTTGGAAGCGTTGTCACAAAATCTTAATATGGTAAGCTGGAGTGAATATTCAATTATTAGATGCAAACAGCTAATTTTCAAAATGATGCTAAAATTGTACAAATTCAAATGTGACATTATCTATAATTAGGATCGCAGAGGATAAAAAGTTTTCTCTCGTATAGAATATTCAATTCATAGCCGGTGCGAGCATTTAAAATGTCCTGTCATAGTAATTTCATAGTAATTTAGTTGTGTTCTTCGTTACTCGAATTTTAGTCGAGAAAACTTTCACGATTATAAAAATGAAAAATCACCTTTCTAAAACTGCGTAGAATACATGCCAAACTGCCAACTATAAGTAGACCGGAATCGTATTTTAAGATTAGTAAAATTTAGTGAATAAGTACAGTTTAAAATTGCGCATAAATTGCCGATTTATTCATGTGGTTAGTATCGATAAAAAATATGTTTTAACAAAGCAGAGTTACGTGAACATTCAACACTAAGTATTCTAATGATTATCAATTTGCGAAGTTCTTCAATTATTATTTAATACGTAACACGGACTCAAACTAGAATTAATCGCATAGAAATGTCAACTATCCGCTTCACAAACATCGCATCCCGGGGTAAATAATGATAATATTGTCCGCTTAAAATTGGGACCGTAATTTACAAACTGTGATTCAAATCCTACACAGAAGATAGAAATCATAATAAAATTAATTTGTGTTGTGAATGCACTTGTTGTCCCTCTTTGCCGATGTGAACTCACAATCATGTCCGAAATATAAAAACTACGATATCCGCCGTGATAATTAATATATACTTGTGAATAAAAAATTGCTTCAATATAGTCTAACAACATTAATTGGAATGTCAACCGCCAAAACGATCGCGGTGACAAATAATTTACTGAGGCCTTCGATTATGACAAAATTAGGAAATAAAAAACGCCGCACTGTTACGACAGAGTTTTCAGTCTTCTAGTAAAATTCGAAATAAAAATATTGTCACGACAGGTGGTTTCGGCGGCCGACATCCCAATTAATGTCGTTTAAAATGACAATACTGATTATTCGGTGTTCGTTAAAAATATTCGATTAACTCGATTAAAAAATACGATTTTGCCCGACATTGATCACGGCGCAAGTAATCATTGAGTGGAAATAAAAGTTCAACTTCATAACAATAAATTCCAAGTAATAGTTATACATTTCTTGCATTTGATCGACGCTACATGCGAGCGTGTTTTTGTACATATAAACGCTTATGACACTACTGGCATCTGCGAGTTTTAGTTCTCTGAAATTAAATAATGCGGGTACCCGCTGACTACGGATTAATGGTCGATGTTTGAAATACGACTTGTAAAATATTCACCAACACCGTTAAGGCAAAGAGAGACGGGCTACAATGCAACTGTGGAATTTCGCTGTGAACGACCATACATTTTAGTTTAATAAACGCATTACGTCGTCGTGAATTGCACTTTTGGAGCACTGTTTTGATTTAATCGCGTGCACAATCTACTGTGTTTCGATTTCAGTTACTATATAGTATATGATATATATTTTAAAGAAATCCTAACATAACACTAAATTTTGTGATTTACAATGTCTAAAAGCGTTTTCAATCTGCTACGAGACTGCTAAAACAAAACTTATGGGGATATCTTCCGTTTTAGATTTTAGTTTTAATATTTTATAATGCCGCTCTTCAATCAAGAAATTGAGTTGCGGATTCACTATTTATCTCTTCACCAATTTTTATAATATAGTATTCTAACTTGTTTGTGATGAATGTAAATTAGAAAGATTCAGAAGATTTTAATAACATACTTGCTCTTTAGACTCGAGGCAGCCACCTCTCACAGTGATATTGTCTTTTCCGATTTTGAGAAGTGTTTCAGAAAGCTGAAATTGATACGAGATAATGAAATGTAGGTAAATTTTGTATAATATAAATTTGATTAAATATAGTTGTTCAAACTATGTCATTATTAGGTTTTAGGTTTATAAGTTACAGAAAATGTAACTTGACAGGAGCACAGAGAAGCTATGCTTATACTTTGGATACATAAAATAAAAATATTTATTTTCGGTTCATTCACAAATTATTCACAGATTTCCCCATAAATTACAAACATTACTTTGGAATGATCTGTCAGTGTATAATATTGCAACACATAATATAAATTATATTTATACTCATTGAAAAGTAAGTTGAAAAAACGGCTACATATTTAAGAAATGTATATATCAAAAATAAGGCGGGAAAGATAAAATTTACACAGTTTTACTGGGGAAGGGACGTCGCGGGAACCAAACTGGTTATCGAGCAGCGACACCCAAGTTCCTAATATCTAATTAAAAAAGTAAGAATTCTAGAGTTTTGAAACTACTATATCTTATATTGACGGTGAGTGCCGTATGAAAGATCTAATTAACACCATTCAGTAGAGATTATATAGGAGAGTTTATATTAATTAAGCTCTTCTTAATACACATGATTAGGCATAACATGACGTGACCCGCACTAACAATAGGGAAAATATGACACAGTTATGAACATGGATGGTATGATAACTTAAGATTTTTACCAAGGGGATGAGAACAAAAAAGGAGTTTACACTTGGTTTGGTTGAATATAATTTGTACAGTATTGTTTTTGGAAATTTTAGTAGGGTCACGAGTTCTTTAATGTGTAAGATTAACGGCTATCTTAATACACTTAGTATGACTCACTCTTATAATATCATTATTGGAAATTTGGGGCGATTCCAGTTTGAACTAGTCGGGAACATCAATGGCATGGTTATCAATTGTTTACTACCAGAGCGTGCAGGTCACAATGAGTTATACGGTTACATTCAAGAAATTAGCCTGATTACTTTATATATAGGATGGTGGTTAGTGTGAACTACCATTTGTGGCAAAAACGCTCATAAGGTTAAAAAAAGGCCAGGACTACGATTTCAACAAAGTTAGACATATTAGTATATAACGGCACCCTATGAGAAACAAGTTGAACAATAAGTTTTAATATTTGCATGGGTATTAAGTTGGGGTTGTGTTTTAACCGAGGCATTTAACGAGGCATAGTTCAAATCCTTTCAGTATCTCTGCAGATATACACTGCTGAACTCTAAAAGTATCACTATGAAAATTATTTTCATTTTCTTTTATTTATGCTGGCCTAATGACCTTCAAATAAACTGACATTACAAGATAGTAATTGGCCCTTCGGGTTGGACGATTAAACGAAACGACAGCAGATGGGACAGCACAGCCCCTGCGCTGTACTGACTATGCCATTGCACAGTTAATTCGTAGGACAGAATATTCATTTCCGCGATTCTACGAAATGAGCATGGTTTGGTTTTAACAGATTTTGCCATACACAAATATGAGCGCGTATTGGTGCCCAAACTGACAATAAGAAGATCAATGTAATGCATTCTTGTATCTCGACTATTGAGCGGGAACGAAAAAAAGTCTATTATTTCTAGAACATGGCCCTAGCCTTATTCACTGGGCCGACACAAAAGCTAGAATAAAACGGTAGTTGTGCGAATCATGTTATTATGAATTTTGAGATTGTAATTTTTAGAAAATTTCATTCGACAGACAAACCAAAACTGAGCTTATACTCGATATATTGAAAGTAATAATTAGTCTGTAGATTTCCCGAAAAAATACAATATATCATTTATTTATAGACATGTGAATTGGAAGATTTCAAATGATTTGATTACATACTTGCTCTTCAGACTTGATAGGCCTCCATCTCACTCAGTGATGAAAAGCTGGCACTTGACGAATTTCTTTCGGTAAATTTGATAAATTGTTCTGTCGACTTTCAAGCAGTGTTTTAAAAAGCTGAAAATTAATATTTATGTCATGATTTTGTGTGAGCCAATTCTAAATTTTATTTAAACTAAATTCCGTTGCGCCAACTATGTCATTTTCCGGTAGTTAATTCACACAAATGCTATTTGACAGAGACACTGCAAAATATATACGTCAGTTTTAATAAAATACGTAACGGGTAAATTTCGACATTTGATTTCATAAAATCCAAACTTTTCTCCGATTTTTTTTTCTAAAATACACAAAACTTAGAAAAATTTACCACCATAGAAATTGCCTTTCATAGACTCTACAGTTACAGGTATATGTAATCTTTTATTTTCTTAAATTCAGCTTAATACTTTATAACATACCAGGTGTAGTTTTCAAACTGCACAAATTGCAAATATTACAATAATAACAATAAAATACCCAATGAAGTTTTATAACTGTTTCATGGAGTATATGACTAATTACCTCTGATCAGTAACTTGTAGAATTATCACATTGTTCACCGGTAGGGATCGCAAACTGGAGATCGCAATCCAGCAGGGAAGCGCGCAACGAATTTTAGGGGTCGCAAAAACCAATTTGATACCAGGTACTATATTTATAGTATTTTTTGGATTTCTGCTTCAAAACACAATTATTGAAACTTGAAATTTTGAACGTGAACGTGGGTCTTACTTTTCTGGACTTTTGATTTGAAAGACAATTATTAAAACTAATAAGTGGCATAACAATGCCGACTTTGATCGCAAGACCCGAGACGCGGTGCGCTCGCATCGAATTGTTTAGCATTTTTAACGAAAACAATGGTATACAGGAATCAATAGACGTCGAAAGTCAAATAAAATGTTTAAATGATATTTACTTGTATTATTCCTCGTTTGTTACTTTGTGTCTTTGAATCTTTAATCTTTAATTGTTCTGCATCTGAAAAAAAGTTAATATATTGATAAATAAACTGTCGCAGAACTCTCTTGCATAATCAATGGACAGTGGGACTGAATCTATCGGATCTTTTGCACAAAGCTCCCGCCACGTTTTAAAATGACATATTAGTAATTATCCATTTGGGGTTAGGAATGATTTAAAGAATTTCCAGCGCAATCTGCTTTCCTATCTTAAACTGGATAATTAATAATTCTCTTATTTTGAACGTTAGTAGGGTCTTTGTACAAAGATCCAATCTATACACGGCGCTTCGGTAGTATTCGTAGCAAGATGACGCACAACCTGAACCCTAACCTGGTACACATAATATCTTCAGGTTGTGCGCCATCTTGGTACGAATACTATGGGAGCACCCAATACACAATAATGTATCAAAATAAAAGGCTACGGCGAATCTCTATTAATCCATGCAAAAGTTTTGAAAGTTATGCATTGTAAAGCGTGCCACGTGGAATGCAGCTTACGTAGTGACGAAGATCAATATATTACGTTTAAGTTTCTTAATATGATAAGTTCATGTATTGCCATATAGCTTTTGAGTTCGACCAGTTGTGAGGAAACGATTGAACCCGATGTTAGTGAGTTCGATGCAAAATAGAATCATTCTTTGATCTAGAGTCTTCTAGACTTCTGTATTAGCATAACAATTCCAATTCGTATAGGCCCGAAAACCTCTAATTTACCACTTACACAATAGAAAAATGAAAGTAATACAATAACATTGGGAACAATAGGTATAAAGAACATTTAGCTCACCTGAATATTGTTTCGAACTCGCTGTCCTAACCCAACAGTCAGCCTATCCATACGTCCTAGACAAAATCAAACCTCATCCCATCACAAACATTTGTGACTGACTGAAAGCGATGTCGCTTGTGGCTTCCCGCGCAAAAATATTTGACGAAAAAAGCTAACTTGATTACTTGATTACTCCAGGTTATCGTTACGAGTCGATCACGCTTCTAACGCGTGATCTCAAAGTTGAAGAATGCAAATGACGGTTAGGATTTGCTTTATACATTTTCTGATCGTATAATACCTATAGTTACCTACAGTAATATTCTCGGGGGTGTTTACCTCAGATCTCACATTTTTGCATCAGTGACGGGAGCTTAGTACAAAGAATCCAGCAATTCGATTATATTTGTCTGTTTATATTTGTCGAGTAAACGCGCACGTGAATGTCATCAAAAATGTAACCTTCCTACCATTCAATGAAAGAATAACGCGAATATTTGTCGAGTAAACGCGCACGTGAATGTCATCAAAAATGTAACCTTCCTACCATTCAATGAAAGAATAACGGCGTGTAGAAGTTTAGCGTTATATTGCATTCTCTACATTGATGTACAAATCTTAGCTCATTGACTTACGCAGACAAGAATAATTTTAAGTTCCCATACAATAACGTGTTGGCGATGTCCTTAGAAGGGGAGTCACAATGTGACGTTGTTTCGATGCCTACTGTAAAGTAATTTCTCCGCTCAAAACAACCGGCAGAGACATAACATCGCCAACAGCATTAATCACGGTTCTATGTGAAGTAAATACGGTAATTGACTGCTCAAGACAAGAGCATACCGACGACAACAACTGATAATGTATAGATCAACTATTCGAGACCATTCAAATATTTAGTGTTATGGAGCTGGTGAAGAGGTAGACCAGGGTAGTTCAAACCCAGGCCCGCGGGCCACGTGTGGCCCGCCGCTTCATTATCTGTGGCCCGCGTCGCATTGGCGCGAGGATAAACAAAAAATCGCATTTGGTGTTGTTTCGTCATAAAAAATAACCAGAAAAATCTTTTGACAGATTGTTACATCACTAATTTCACTGAATTGACTAATGTTTTGGCTATAGCTGAGGCAACTAGCAAAGTTGAATGATGTGCTTGGCAGACTAAATTTTTATCTGGTTTTCCATCTTTTTGGTCGGGAATATATGCTAACAAAATAGGCTTCATAGATAACTAAAAATCGAATGAGAAATCTATTAGCCTCGGTTGGCTATGCCTGATAACTAAATATTAATGTTATGGCCAAACAATACAATTCCCGCCGGGTGTTTTTTGTAACCAGCCTTAACAGTATTACAAAAAATGTTGCCTATATGTCAGAAAATTTAGTAATTGCCCTCCTGTATCTCAAATTTGGTAAACTTCGGTAATCAATCAATCTGCAGTTACTTGTAAGTTATTTTGTAAACATGAGTTTAAAAATAAAGCTGACCAATTCAAACATATTCTTGACTGGGTGTGGGAGGGAAAGTACCACTATGCTTGCTTGATATGTCCGCAAGTTGTGTCGGTGACAATCTAATACGGCAGTTTCTCCTTATGACACTTTCTCCGTTATGAAAAGTTTGAAATCTCACACCAAAGGTAGATATAGTAAGATTTTTGCACGTTTAAGTGAGTTTTTTTTTGTGGTTTTTGCATGCTTTAGCTTAAAAAAAAGGCAAATAATGATCAATGTATTAATGTCATTTTGAGTAAACGAATAGTTTGCGGATACCCTAGTTCTGTATGAAGCACTTTGAGTCGGTCTCCACAGTAGACCTCTTGATAAAGAGCGATCATGATGCAGGTATGTACGACCGTAAAGTACAATCCTGAGATTTCGTCATCCAGCGTAAGGGTATAGACGTATTTTGGTGCTCCCCGAAGTATGCGAACCAAGATGGCGGACATCGGAACGTAACATGGGTAACAGGTTAGGGTTAGGCGATAATTTTTTTCCAATTTTCCTTATTTTAGTCCTATTATCAGTGCGAAGACTAGCCAAGAGCCTCCCGTAGTATTTATACCTAAAATTATGGCCTAACCCTAACCTAGTACACATATTACATTCCGATGTCCGCCATCTTGGTTCGCATACTTCGGGAGCCCCCGTATTTTAATGTACAGTATTTAGTATATGTCAGACTGTGCACTGCAGCTGACTACGTTTGCGTTGAGTGGCGCATCGTGATAAGCCTTAGGAATACGTTCAATTCCTAACCTAAGATTACCCCGCTTGGATTCGCAAGTTCAAATTCAGTAGGGGATAATTTAGTACCAGAGGATTACTGGCGGCTTCCTCTCGCCACCCCTACTCTAAGCCAGCGCTCCCCAAACTTTTTTCGCCACGGAATATTATTACTAGGATGAGCTGAAAAAGCCTAATTTGGTGACATCTCGCGCACCGATCTCTGAGAAAAGTTACTTACAGGCCACCACACTGACCGGCAAGTAGGACCATAAAAATACATGATATACTCGACCTAGTCAACTACATATTGGAAGTATAGTGAGTTAGTCTCGCGTAACCCAACTCGTAATCCTATTAGATTTGCCACTATTATAAAACTTGCAACACTTGGCTAAAAATCATTTTGTGTCTCTAGTATTAGATTTGCTATATGTAGCCTACCTTTCGAACAAGTAAACTATCGCACTATTGGATTCCTCGGGCCTCTTAAATGTTCCACTGGTGTTATGCTTCACCAAAAAAAAAAAAATTGAAAACCACTGGGTCGCAATCAGTGTTCCCTCTAGAAAACTTTCACACTGCGCAAATGTTGTTTTTACTGAGCAAGACTATTTTAACGCTGAGCAGAATCCTAAGTTATTTTCAAACTTTGTGAAATGTTACAACAGTAGCCTATTATTTATTATCGGAATGCAAAAAAGTACACATTTAATTTAAATAGATTCTCCTTGTTTTCGTGCTTTTCCAACGTTTATACACTTTGTCCATGTTTGTTGTGTTTATTGCTGAATCAAGCGACAATCATACAAAGTACAATACTTAATTGATGTACAATTTCAACATTTTTGTTGTTGAAATATCATTGCTTTCATCAAAAATCAGGGTATGAAATTTTGTTTGTCTTATGCTTTGTAAGATCTCTTCCCTGGCGACAAAGTCTATGCTCTTCAAAAATTCAAAGCCTTATTTTTGCTTCAACATGAATGTGGCAATTTAGTGTATTTTGACACACAACTATTTATTACCTCGCGGGAAAATATTGATGAATTCAGCTTAACACGTGGTAGAACACTATCTATGTGAGCCTTTTTTTCAAAACTGCACTCTCTTCAGCGATAATCAACAAAACGAAATTTCTCGCTAAACGGCAAAAAAGCTTCGTGGACCGGCACCGGCGGTTGGGAACCACTCATCTAGTGCGTCAATATGCTTTTTCTGATTTGAATGGCGTTTTAGATGGTCAAATTCCCATTCCCAACCACGATTTTCCTTTTCCAAATCACTATTAGGTGCCACTTCCCGACAAACTTTGCAGATTATTACATTCCTTGACGCGGAATAGCGATAAATTTCGGAAAGTTCAGAAATTTTTTTTTCTAACTTATATACCGGTATCACGATTGCAAATTAGTGTAAAACACTCCACTGTTGCATTTAGTCATTCCACTTTAAAATCAATGTTCTCATTTTTAAATAACATTAGTATATTGGCTTTGGTTAATAAACCAATCATTCTAGTAACCTGCTGAATATTAAAACGCTTAAAACCCTTTTAGTAATTTCAGGTGAAACATACTTATTATATATATAACATCGATATCATTCAGTATAACCTCGTGGTCACGTGTCCCAATCTGGAGATTCAAGAGCCGACGGCGCTAGCACTCGCTTAAACTCAGTCCCCCTTTAAATTCCAACTAGTTTAGCCCAGCCATACGGCTACGAGCGAGCAACCAACAAATTTTCTGTAACAAACAGTGGGCACCAGCTTTGCAACATTTGAAATCTATATATTAAACTTCTAAACCTTCCATATTTCCATCTGTATTGACTACATCACTACACTATAGGGACAATAACAAGATTTTGTCGACAACACGAAATTCATAGCACACGATGAAAATTTCAAAATGCGGCACCGACCCACCGGCATACAGAAATCAATGTACTTGAGAGCGTGACATACACATGTTTGACATCACAATGATCAGTGGTCACCAAAATACGCGGGAAACATAGAACGAGCATTCTAATTAAACGTTAATAAATATGAAATATGAGCCACGCTTTGAAAACGAAATGTTGTAACTGCGCGAGAATGAGATTTTACTGCGCAAATGTTCTGGTGGCACTGCACAGTTGTGCAGCTTAGAGGAAACCTTGGTTGCAATAATTCCATGTTCGATAACTAAACTAACTGGACAGCATAACCGATTTACTAATCTCATAACCGACACGGACTGGTAACCTGACAAGAGGGCGTGGTTTGATTAGGCCGTCATTTCGGCTTTCATCACCCCCGACATAGTGGCCAAAACACAGGAAGGTAGTCGGAAACGAGGTACAGTGGCCAGTGGGTGGAAAGGACAGAGTGGCCATGGCACGGGGAAGGAGTTAGATATTAACTAGGCAGAATGGCAGAAGGCAGTTGTAGCCAAAAACACAATAAGAAAGTCATGAAGCCAGTATAGCAAATTAGACAGTGATAACATCAAACAACTACACTGTACATGTTGAACGTAGAGTTTAATGTTGTAAATATACACGGAGAACGATGAAGACATGACGAAACGACACTGATCCAGATACAGATCGAACACACGATTCGACTCCCAAATACAAGACCACCCAAATATTCGATTGAAACCCTATATATAGGTATATATATATGTGTGTGTAGGGTGAAATCGATTCCATTAGTGTTATTGATTCGGGTTTGAAATACTAATTAGGGTTTAATATACAATTATTTTTCAGGTGCGATATGATTCCTAGATCCAATTTACGAATTTGGAGAATCTCGCAATAAACAATTTCCAGGTTTTTTTATTAATTTTACCTGAAATAACGAATTTATCCCTAAA